TTTGTAATTCGCCACTATATTAGTTAAAAACTAAGAAACTCATATCAAATTTAAGTTTTGCGATTTTGACTTATACTTTTTACAAAATCTGAACACGTTTTAAAAGAAAAAAAGTTTTTGATAATATTTGTGTAGATTGACTACAAGTTGTATAACATAAATTTCTACGACCGGTCTACCTAGTGGTCTGCAGCATCGCGTTGTGGTGCAAACGTTGGCCTGTTAATCTGTGACGTGACGCACAACAGCCAAGAAAAACAGAAGCGTGGCTAAGAATTTAATAATTTAAAAAAAAAGTCTTTTAGATACAGTAGTAGGTATTAAAAAGTTTTGTGTTTAAATGGGGTTTGCCTTTAACATTAAAACATTATATCGTAAAGTGTAACTTTCCGTAAGAATTCTTTTTTTTTTGCTTGCTTGTTTTACGGATAGGTGCAATCGCATAATTATTATTGATAATGTTTTATTTAATTTTAACATTACTACTTTTTCAGTGAATCTTTAAATCTATTGTTTTTTGTTAAGTTCGTTATTTAAACATATGTATGTAATACACTCATATTAACACTAATCATATTTTTACGTTTTTATTCATCATTTTCAATGCCCCCCCGGTTGCATCTTTGTAAAGGACTGTGATTTTTTTTTCTTATTTACGCTATTTGTTACTTATAAGCTCAAAAATATAATTATATGCACAAGAAAAATAAGAAATTCTAACGAGATCCATATTATGCACTGTAAAAAAAATTGAGTGAAATTTCACTCAGATTTCACTCAATACTTTCTCAATTTCTGTCCACACCCGATTGAGTGAAATTTCTACTCTACAGAACTGAGTGAATCTTCAATTCACGCAGTGAAAAGCACTGAGTGTTTTCACTCAATCGAGATTAGACGAAAGACTCGATTTTGATAATTTATTCACTTTAAAATGAGTGAACTCACTAAGTGTTGAGTTCAAGTACACCTTTTATTGAGTGACTTTTACTCAACTTTGTATTACACTTAACTCGATTAGTACTCATATCTGAGTATTAATTTCACTCAGTATTGAGAAATATATTCTAAATGATTTTTTTAAAGCTATATGTAAGCTAACTTGTCATTTTAAAAGAGGTGGGCAGGTGCCTTTCAAAGGTAAGTTTCAGTTTAGGACATGGTCTCGAACATGTCCATTTCCTAAAATTCACTTTTGGGAGGCATCTGTTCACTTGTAATAAAATAAGAAGTTAGCTTACATATAGCTTTTAAAAAAATCATTTAGAATATTTCGTTTTTTTTTAACAAACCAAATGAAAAACTGTAGAACCTTCAAAAATATTTTTATTTGTCATTTTTATTTGAAAAAAACAAATAAAACCAAATATAACACTATTATTATAATATTAAAATTTTTTTTTAACTCTTTATACAGGAACTTTTTTAAGTTAGATGTCTAGAAAAGTTGCATCACATCGCAAAAATCCGCTTTATTAAGAGCATTCGTCAGTTCGGCCACCTTCTCGAATATTTCTAATTTCTAAACTAACTTTTAATAACCAAAATCCCTCGGAAAATCCAGATACTTTTGCTCCTGAAAATTAAAAAAAAATTGTTATTCTGCCAAATGTTCCAGTTCCCAATTCATGATTGAGAGAAAGTACCTAGATTTTCGCTACGCTAATTAGTCAAGGAAACATCAGCATTGCGGCATTGGCGCAGTCGAATTTGAATCTATGCTATGTTGGGCGGATTTCTGCGATGTGAAAAAAAATGTTCTTAACATAAAACATATTATTAACAGTCACACTTTACATCACACTTTACACACACACTATGGGCTTGTGACCTTGGCACCTTCGAAGGGACAAGACAACCTACGACGTGCTACGACTCGAACAGATAATTACAAACTGAGGAACCGGGGAATAGCTTATTTGGTATCGAAGAAGCGCGTATGACGTATGATTAGTAATGAGCGAAAATACTCTAAACTGGGAGATTTCACTCAAATTTTTAATGTGTTAAACTATAACATGAGTTTTTAAGTTAATTTTTCTATTCCATTACTCAAAGATATATGCTATAACTCGAACATGAGCTTATTCAATCGCTATTGATTAAATAGAGATCATATTTGAGTAAAATGATGAATTTACTCTATTTTAGATGAAAATGTACTCAATTATTTCACTCAAAAAATTCACTCCCTGAGAAATATGTGTTCACTCAGGCTGATTTTTTACAGTGTGTTTCCATGATGCGAGTTCTTTAATTTCTTGACATTTTTTTGTATGACGCTATGTACCGTTTTTGCGTAAAAACCATTTTTATGCATTGAAAACTTGCAAGCTAGACAATTAGTATCGGGTAAAAATAACCTATTTTTCAAATAGGCCAGCAACCTAACCTCGAAACACAAGTAATTATTCTTAAGTATGTATATTACGAGGTATATTTTATTGTTAAGTAGGTACTTACCTTGGACACTAAATATAAAAACTTTAAAATACTTCATATAGAATAGGTCAACACCAAAAATTGATCCTGTAAAAAGCGCGAAGGCCGCTCTTTTTCAATGCAAATGGGCTAGAAATGATGCAATCAGCTTCTATCCCACATCCACCTTTGCCAGATCTCCAACAAAATACCTGTTTAATACCAGTTTAAAACCAAATAAAACCAGTTTATTACCTAATAATACCATTTTTTTATTAAATAATACCAAATTAGTACCAAAATTACCAAATTAGTATCAAAAATATCAAATTAGTATCAAAAGTGCCAAAAAATACCAGTATTACCAAGTGCTTGTACAATAAATACCATCAGCGGTTTGCCCCTCGACTAAAAATTAACAATATAAATATTTTTCAGTGTATTGTATTGAACGATTTTTTAACTGACTTTATGTTTTTATGTATTAAGAATATTTGACTGTATATACATATGCCTTGAGAAAGATTTGCATAAAAAATCGAAACGTTAGCGATTAAACGATTTAAAAACACCCAGAAATCATTTAATAAAGGTTTAAGAAAAAGAAAGATATCTATTACTGAAAGAGACACAATATCCTTAGCTTTTTTCGATTAGTTCATACAGGGTGAGTTTGAAATAAGTGCAATTATTTTCAGGGGTCGTATATTTCTATCCCAGGAACACGTCTATGAGATTTTTTGCAAAAAACGATGTTGAAAATCGAGCATTTTTTTTTAAATTTCCCTGTATATTTTAGAAAACATTTTAGAACTGCCTGTTCATCGTAAATCTTCCTACAGTATAATTTTTTAATATCTGATATTTACATGGTTGTAGCAATATAAAAGCTGCAAATACAGAAAAAAACCGTTGGCACTCAAAATTTGTTTAAAATAAATTAATTTTCTTTTTAATTTCTAAACTTGAATAACTCGATTATTTTGGACTTATTTGAAAAACGGTATTGTAGCAAACTGTATATTAGTATCCTTGCAGTATAGCTATAAATGTATTTTTTATATATAGGGTGAGTTTTCTACGATGTTCTCTATGGGTATCTTGGAAACTATTGGAGATAGAGAGTCGGTTAAACGGGGAAAGCATTGCATTTTTTGTGGGGTCATGGATATGCGCCTTTCAAATTTTTGAAAAAGTTCATGGCTTTTTTTAATGGAAATCATAGTTGGCCATGACTTCATAAAAAAGGATATTTTTAAAGGTTTTCAGCGATATAAGCTATAATATGTTTTTTCTTAGTTATGGTATTCTTATTCTGTTATGACTTATAACTTCTAAATAGACAGAATATTTTATTAAACGGCCCTTTACAATTTCCATTACAGAAACTAAAACTTAAAGAAATAATATCACTACATACACTTTAAGTTATTTTGGAAAATGTTCCGAAAATCCGCCATTGTTTTGAGTATATAAATGCATCATTTTAAAATTGAATTACCTATACTAGTTTTTTTCACAGAACGACCGGTCGACTTTATTAAACTTCTCCCGTACCGCCTCTTCGAGTGCCTCTCTTAATTCATAAGTTCTTTTGTAAACCTTGTGGTTAATCATACCGTATAGAAAAAATAAAATAGATAGGTCACGTGATCGAGGAGGCCCATGCAATTTGTCCATCTCTTCCTATCCCTGAGTCTACATAATTATCATATAAATAATTTTTAACACTTCTTTTATTATGAGAGGGAGTGCATAATGAAAGTCACTCTATTATTGTGCGAGTCTCTAAATTTAACTTTTTTTACATCTCTTGAAAACCGTTATCTAAAAAGCGTAAGTAACGTTCACCGGTCATTGTCTCCTCGAAAATGTATGGCCAAGAAAAGTTGAACCAATACGCTTTTCTTCATTTGAAAAATTCATATTCACAATTTTTGTTTATTTTAATTTACAAAGTTTACATGTGACAGTTTGACATTTCTGAGAGCAACTAAGTGAAATTGTTTAAAAATGATACGAATTGGCTATAACTCAGTAATTTTTCGAAAAAAAAAATATTATAGCTTATATCTCTAAAAGGCTTAAAAAATGGAGCTTTTTATGAAGTCATGGCTAACTATGCTTTCCATTAAAAAAAACGTATGTTTGTGTCATATGTCAAAAATGACAGGCTTTAGAAAAAAACCGGAAAACACAATCTCATTAAGGATGTGATTATCTACAACTTTTATCTGAAAAATTTCTGTCTAAAATAGGTTAGAAAGGAATTAGGGACAATTTTTAAAATTGCCGAAATTTGTTTTTTTCGAAATATCTAGTAAGCAATGAACTTTTTCAAAAATCTGAAAGGTGCATATTTATGACCCTACAAAATTGCAATTCTTTTCCCATTTAACCGACTCTCTATCTCCAGTAGTTTTCAAGATACCTGTATAAAAAGGTACACTAACATTACGTGCATATCTTTTAAAAATACTGGTTTGAAAATTTAAAACAGAAAATCTGAAGTGGAACTTTTTCGGAACACTGAATCACACTGTAGCGACTACATTAATAACGTATATATTTTTTTCTAGGCTCCGTCTTTTATGAATAGAAAAAAGATCGTCCACTGTTGCACATCGGAAAAACCAGCAGTTAATAAATTTCAAAAAAATAGCAGATTTTCTAGCAAGAGAAAGTCTATATGCCCTACACAAAAATCAATAAAATCAGCTAATAAAACTTCAGAAAATCAGCTTCCTTTAGAGAAACATTCTTCTACAAGCTCTCTTAATTACAATGCAGATAGCGAAGGTAGTAAATCTGAGGCAAAACCCTTAAGCGAAAATTGTAATCAGAGAAAAGGGACTTTCATTATAACTAAAAACGATGACCATATTGAATCCGTCCCAAAGTTAGCAGATAAGACTGAATCGCTCAATAATGAATTAGAGCAAGCATCTACGTATTCCATAACTAGTAGCTTAGAAATTGAAGAGATGTTAACCAAAAATTTGTTTTATAATGAAAGTATGTTAGAAGAGGAGCTTAAAATGCAATTGAACATATATTTAGAAGCTGAACAGGCTCAGTCTTCCGATATTGAAGAATGGTTCGAAAAATCGCGTAGTGAAGATAATGAAAAAATTTTAAACTTTAATGCGTTGGAACAACACTTGGAGGAAACGAACAGCGTTAGTGCTGAAAATGAGACTGAATTCTATATGAGTGAAACGTTCATTGATGATGATTACGACTCGTACCTGAATATGGAAAAAGGTGGAGAGCGAGGTGGTATAGATAATGAAAGTTTCTTTGAGGTAATATATTTATTTTTTTTTGAAAACTTTATTCTCTTTCAGAATAACTTGCATTATATTAATTTATAAGGCTTTCCATAAATTTGTCATACTTTTATTACTTAATTACTATATTTTTATACTTTTGCAATTCAGGACGGCTCTCAACTCTCACACGACATGGAAAAGTAAAACGAAAATATATATTGGAAATAATTTTTAAGCCTTTTTGTAGTCTTTTTCACTTAAACATTTTACGGAAATTACTACAACTTTTAATTTTTAAATAACGCCCTCGGTATTTTTTTACTTTATTCTGTTGAAAATGACTCTGTAAATAGAATGACATAATATGTCAACTTTGGACATTTTTCTTTTGGATAAAAGAAGCATATTTTCTCTTTGCTGTTTTCACATAAATTCAAAACAACCAAGTTATTTTACTTTGAAAATTTCCAAAATAAATGATTTTTTGCTAAAATTTTGAAAACCACTGGATCTTTTCTGGATTTCCTTTCTTAAAATCTTTAAATTTAGTCTACTACCTATGTTGCTATATTATCAATAAATTATGTTTTTTAATTAAAAACTAAAAAAAATTCCAAAGGTCCTGGGACGATAAGAATACCGAATCGGCCCCAGAAAGGAATCGGGCTCATAATTTCAGGAAATATTTGTAGGTACCCATAAAATACTTCGATACAGCAAGTGTCAGATTTTTAGCCGACCATACCAACAGGTATGGTAGGCTATTAAGATCTGTCTGTCTGCCTGCCTGTCTGTCTGTCTGTCTGTCTGTCTGTCTGTCTGTCTTTTTTTTTCTGAGGATGGTAAAAAAATCTTCTTAGACGCCTGGTCTGTTGTTCTGGCGACCGAGGTGTGCCGGATTCCTACCGACTAAAAAAATTCCACCCTATTTGGTAGACAAACTGCGCTGGAACTGCTCACGCATTACTTCGGCGCAGATGCCCCTCTCTACGTTAGACTTTGGTCATTCTTCAACCCTCCGTTGATCCAGTTCCTTCTGTCGTAGAATTTTTGATATTAACGCCACGAAAGCCTCCCATATATCTTCGTCCTCCACAATAGATTGTACTAAGTTTTCTTTTTTAAAGGGTACCTTAAAAATCCCTTTGATCTTTAATCTACCTGGTTCCCAGGCCGAGCATTCAAAAATGGTGTAACTGACATCGTCGATGGCACTGCTGCAATATTTACAGGCCGCACTAGCTCTTTTCTTGAAACGATATAAATAATGTTCGAAAGCTCCGTGACCGCTAAGTATCTGGGAAAGATAATAGTCTACCTGTCCGTGTTTTCGTTCAGTCCATCTTTTTATATTCGGGATTAACATATGTGTCCATTTTCCACCGTACGCCTCATCCCATCTTCTTTGCCACAGTTGATATAATATCTCCTTCGCTTCATTTTTGATATCAGCCTTATCTGTTCTTCCTGTAGTTTTCTGATCATATATATAAGCGCTTTCCTTTACTACCAGGTCTATTGGTGGTATACCTGCGACTACGAATACCGCTTGCTCCGCTACAGTTCTGTAGGCAGAAACAACTCTCAAGGCGCTCCGTCGCTGAACTGATAGAAGTTTCTGTTTTTTTAACCTCCAGTGCCTTTACCCATATTGGAGCGGCGTACAAAATACTGGCGTGGGCCACCTCATTTAAAAGTATCCTTTTCTCCTGCCTTGGACCTCCGATGTTTGGCATTACTCTTGCTAATTTAGCCACTGTTGTCTGAGCCTTTACCACTACTGCATGTATGTGTTCTTTGAAATTCAGCTTTTTAGCAATTTGCACTCCCAGATACCTGAGGCTTTTGGACCATTTGATTTCCGTCCCATCCAACACAATCTTTGGATACGTAAAAGATCGCTTATCCGTTATCAGTACAGCCTCTGTTTTATGGACAGCCCCAGCTATCACCCGTAGTGCTTTTCACCGCCTCGATAAGATCATTCTTGGTAATGGAACCGTCTAAGTCTCTTATTTCAAGAAGATATAGTTTCTGAAGAGATTTCACTGATCCTTTGCCTTCCATTGCTGTCTCCATTGCTTTTTAAAAATTTTCAGTGTCAGTCCCCTTTTTAAATTCAACTAATATATCGCCTGACCTAGTGCGCCGCACAACAGAAATCTCCGCTCCTGCACTTTTTGGATCTACGTCTGCTTTCAACTTACGCAGAGTATCTGCATACGTTATTCCCTCGTTTATTTTAATTGTTATGGCCTCAGGTAGATATTTTTCCTCGCTTCTTTTTCACCCTGAATTTCCGATTTATTTCTGGTTTTCTTCCCTTGTCCTACTACTCTCCATTCAGGCTCACTAGGTGTCCCCAGAAATGAGAATGGAGACTAGGTGTCCCCAGAAATGAGAATGGGTCCTGTTGCCTGTGGTGTTAACCCATCTATACCTAATTTTAGTCTCCCGGGCCTTTTATTTGCACTTTTTCTTATGTCTTCCGGTGATTCTGATGCATCCCGTTTTTTCGATCCGGTTGTGTTTGGTGTTCACATTCTTCATTCTCTCCCCTTTCTTTTGTCTTTCTCAGCTCCTATAGCTTTTTTATTTCCTCTCTGTTGTTTTTCATTCTTTTATAGTAGAGAACCGTCAGTCTCAAAGAATCTCTTAAGGTTTTGTGAATGTTCCTTGCACCGCTGACTATGGTATCCATAGACATTATGTTTCCTCCCATTTTAGCCAGGAAAATCTCCTCTGACCTTTCTAGTTCTTCCAGATGCTTTAACTGGCTTTCTTCTATTTCCGCTTTCGACTTACTTTCGTAATCGCCTCTAGATGCTGGTGGCGATCTTAAAATTGAGTCTCCCCTTTTGAAAGGGTTCTCGCTGATAAATGGATGAGTGTCCCCCCCAGAATCCGAGGGACAGCCCTCCGCGCAGGAGGGGTGGGATTCTCCAGTATGTCCGGTACCCACCTGGGGAATATTTCTTTTGTTTTGTTCTTCCATCTCAACTTTTCTTGGTATCTCTTTAGTCCGGCATCTCCTGTGATCCCTGCGGCCAACTGATGGTATGACCCCAGGAATCACAGAAGCGCCGAAGCCCCCTCACCACGTCAAGGTGGAGATACCATAGAGGGGGCCTGTCTGTCTGTCTGTCTGTCTGTCCGTCCGTCTGTAACACGATAACTCAAAAACCGCTAAACCGATTTTAACCAAATTTGGCACAAAAATATTGTGGCACCCGAGAATCTGACCATTAGTTTTTGGTGAGGGTGGGGGTTGGTAAGGGGGTATGGGAGGGGGTGAAAAATTTTAAAAAATCGTAACTCCAAAATTATAGTAGCTAGCGAAACGCGGTTTTCAATTTAAGATTAGGAATAATAATATTTGCAACAAAATTTGTAATAACATGAAAATAAGTCAAAGTCGCAGTTTTTAAGATATTCCGTGTTTCCGTAGTCCGTTTTTGAGAAAATCCGTATGGGGAACTCCAAACTCCCATCGGAGGCGACCCCAAGTGGCGGATATGGGAAATAACCGCTGACCAAAATTGGAAAAATTCCTGTACTTTAAAACTAAAAAAACTGCCTACCAACTTTTTATTAACATATTTTAGTATGGGCGGCTATACGTGCCTCCGGGCGCCAATTTTTTTCTGTAACCCTGTCTGAATAAATCGAGAAATACTGAATATGAGTAAAAATTGATATTCTCGGCCTCTTGTGAGTCAAATGATCTAGTGACCGAATATGTTTTGGGGCATGATGGTAGCTTTTTGGAAAAAAATAAGAGATATATCCGTTCGCAAGAACCTAAAAAAACGAGGTTTTATTCTTAATTTTTAACCATGTTAATAACCGTAAAAATATGAAACTATTTTTTTGAATGAGGAATTCATGAAATTATCAGCTTGGGAAATTTAAATTTTTTTCCCAAGGTAGCAACCAATGTGCTCAAAAATCGGTTGTAGCTCTTATATTTTTCAAATGGATGTAGCTCTTATTTTTTTTCCAAAAAGCTACCATCATGGCCCAAAACATATCCGGTCACTTGATCATTCTTGTGAATCGAATTTGAGACGCTCAGACGAATGAGACGCTGAGAATAACAATTTTTACTGATTTTCAATATTTTTCGATTTATTCAGATAAGGTTATAGATAAAAATCTGAAACTTCCTGTATCGAAGTATTTTATGGGTACAAATATTTCCTAAAATTATGAGCCCGATTCTTTTCTGGGGCCGATTCGGTATTCTTATCCCAGGACCTTTTCAAAAAAAAAAATCGCGAAAAAACCTCATAATCGTGTTTCTGGGATGGAAATAAAAAAATTACCCCTAGAAATATTTGCACTTATTAAAGACACACCCTGTATATGCGAAATGTCAAAATTTGACATATGATATGTCATTCTATTCAGCATGTCGTTTTATATCGAATAAAGTAAAAAATACCGAGGGTGTCATTTTAAAAGCAAAAGTTGTAGTAATTTCCGATGAAACAGGAAGCGGCCAAAAACCATTAAATACGCCAATCAATCCTGATTTATGTCATATACTCATAACGTATAACGTATCAAATCTCGTTTTTTTTATCTGAAAAAACAAAAAGTTAGAGGCGAGCCACTTTTGAAAAACGCTCGGTATACAGGGTGGTCCGAACTATTTTCCGGAAACTTCGGTATCATATTCTGCAGATAAATATAAGTAGAACAGTTCGTATAAATGTATTTATGTCCTAAAATGCTTAATTTCGGAGATACAGGGTGTTAGTTAGTTAGTGTTAGTTGTTTCATTTTTATTTCGATTTTTTTCCAAATAATTGCTGAAGTAACGTCAATATTTGGATGAAAACTGGTCTCTGGGTGTTTTTTGACATGAGAAATGTGATTTTGATGTCCATATGACTCCTACTAGTAGAGGGCGGCACCTACATATTTTTTAACTGGTTTGAAGAGTAATAACTTTTTGTCAGTACCTGTATGAAACTACTGAGTAAAAAATATACATTTATGACGTTTTTTACGTGAAAAGGGCTTCATAG